GCGGGAGGCAGCGGCAGCTGCAAGAGAGACCTCGGGGGGCGGCCAGGCCAAGAGGGGGGCGTGACCAAGAGGGGGCGGGTGGCACCTCACGACCGGCGACACGTGCGCGGTCCGGCGGGGGGGCCAGGGACGCACTGAGAAGAGAAGAGGCGCCCTGCGCAAAATCTGGGGAAACATCATGGCCCCCGCCATGATATCCACCCCCCCTTCGTCATCACACCCCTCTCTGCCGCCCCCGAAGGCAGAAACGTTCGGAGGTCTGCGCGGTCCTCCGGAAATTTAGGACAACGTATCCCCCACCCCTGGTCAGGCCGTTCGGCTCACTCGGCGTGGCGCCGCAAGGCTGGTCAGACCACCCGCTTTTCTCGGGAACGCTGTTCTGAACCAACACGGCATGCGGCTTTAGGTGCGCCTGCCCAGTGGGTGAACCAACACAGCATGCGCCTTCCCTCACAGGAGCGATGCCTAGAATATCGGGCACAAGCGTAGAGCATGCATCCTCGCAAGGCCAGCCGGCCATTTCCGAAGCCAAAAACACACAGGCAATCGGAAGATGAGGGGGAAGCAGGAAAGGAGAGAAAGAGAGAGAGAGAGAGGAAGGGAGAGGTGGGGAAGAGAAGGGAGAGAGAGACATAGGTGGAGAAGGGAGGAGGGAGGAGAGAGGCTCGTGCAGGGTGCAGTGTGAATCCCCGCCGCAGACTAGACCGCGGAGCGCAGGCAGGAAACCTTTTTTCCAAGGAATTAAACTCTAGCCCCCCAACGGGGTTATGGATCGCCCCAAGCGATTTGCAATTTACACACTATTCTGCTCACCCGTGATCTCCATACGGTAACTCATATCATGCCAGCCCAACTGGTATCGACCCCGCACATCCTCTAACAAACATGCTGTGGGATTCCCTGTCAAAGACAACCAGCCAACCGGATCGGCGTGAATGAAAGGCTCTTCGACGCCAGGCCAGCCTTTGTGGCCGAATCTGCTGTTGGGCACCAGTTTCACACGCTGCAGACACCTCGCCAAACATGCAACTACTGAGCACTAGAACCATGAGCATCGGCTTCTACAGTCTGGGCATCGCAACTACCTGCACGCCATGCGCCCGACTTTTGCGCGCCGACACCCCTGCATCAGGGACCAGGCGCTCGACGAAAGCAAAGCGGATTCCACTTGCAGAGGCACAGTGGCGTAAAACTGGGTTGCCCCCCACCTCGTCGCGGGCGATACTGCGATGCCTGCACCGAGGCCTCCTGTTCTCACACGGTACCCGGACCCCCGACGTCATTCCCCAATCAGAGCTTGCCTGGGGGACCTAGCGAATCCATATGGTTAGGTTAGGTTTGCCGCCGATTTTCGCCGCACGCCCGGGTGCCCGGGTGCCTGGGTGCCCCGGGGTGCCCAAGTGCCGGGGTGCCCGGGGTGCCCGGGGGTGCCGGGGTGCCCGGGTGCCCGCGGGTGCCCGGGCGTGCCGGGGGGTGCACGATGGTGCCCCCCTATAGCCCTATAGCCCAATAGCCCTGTAGCTCTATAGCGCTACAGCTCTATAGCTCTATAGCCCTATAGCCCTACAGCTCAATAGCCGTATAGCCCTATAGCCGTATAGCCCTATAGCCTTATAGCCCTATACCCCATAGCCCTGTAGTTCAATTGCCCTATAGCCCAAGCCCTAAAGCCCATATAGCCCTAAAACCCTAAAAAGATTATGATTGGAGCTTTTCTCGGGTATATCCTGATTTTTGTCATAACGTCGACTCCCAGAGGTTTCGACCCATCTCCCAGGACCAATTTATCGTCCCGGGTCGCTGTTTGCGGGTCCCGAGGTCTGACATGGGCGGTGGCCTTGGGAACATTCGGCGGCGTGTTTCGAACCGGGGGGGGGGCCCCCCCCACTCAACGCTCGGCGCCGTCGATCAAACCAGGGACTCCCCTCCACCCCAAGTTCTCCCCCTCCCGAACATCACCCCCCTCTTCCCCCCCCCTCCCAAGGAGGGGGGTTCAAACCCTCCCCACAGCCGGCGTCGGCGCCACCGCTGGCGGCCGCCAGCCCCCCCCCCCCCCCCGCCCCCCCGGGGCGCTGGGGGGGGGGTTAAAACCCCCCCTCCTGGCGCCGGCGCCGGCGCTGGCGGCAGCCAGCAGCGCCAGCGCTGGCGCTGGCGACGGCGGAAACGCAGCGACGATTACCACCACACCACCACCGCCACCAGTACCCACACCACCACCACCGCCTCAACTCGCCACCGCCACCACCACCAACCCACCTCACAACCACCACCACCACCACAGCCAACACGACTTCCACAACCACCACCACAACTCACCATCACCACCGCCACCACCACAAAAACCCACCACCACTACCAACAACACCACAATCTACTACACCGCAACCATCACCGCCACAACCACCACTACTACCATCAGCACAACCCACCGCCACCACCACAAACCACCACAAACCACCACACCACTACCACCACCACCACCACCGCAACCACCACCACCACCACCACCACCACCACACCACCACCACCACCACCTCCTCAAACGTCCGCCACCACCAAAACCCGCCACGACCACCACCACCACAAACCACCACCACAACACCACCACCACCATTTCCACCACAACCAGTACCACCACAACTCACCATCACCACCACCGCCGCCACAAAACCCAGCACCACTACCAGCACCACTACCAGCACCACCACCACCACAATCTACCACACCACCACCACCACCGCCACAACCACCACCACTCGGGCGTTGGTAAAACTGGGCTTAGTGGAGCCAGGTTTAGTGAGCTGTACCGGGGGCGCCCCCCCGTCCCATTTCCACTAACTGGAACTGCCGTCACCCGGCGGAACACCAGCTATGGCAAACCTGGTTTAGTGATTCTGGCCAATTCAAAGGCTCCGGGGCCCTACCACTAACCGGGTCCACTTACCCGGGGTCCTGGCCATACCCGAACCACTACCAGCATCACAACCCACCACCACCACCACAAAGAACAACACCACCACCACCACCGCCACCACAACCACCACCACCAGCACCACCTCCACGAACCACCGCCACCACGACAACCCACCACCACCACCACCACCACCACAAACCACCACCACCACCACCACCAAACCACCACCATTTCCACCACCACAACCCACCACCACCACCACCGCCACCACCACCACAAACCACCACCACACCACCACCAAACCACCACCACGACCACCACCCACCACCACCACAACAAACCACCACACCACCACCACCACAACCACCACCACCGCCACCACCACCATCACAACCCACCACCACCACCGTCGTCCTCGTCGACGCTCCCCGCCGCCGCCGCCGCCCGCCGCCGCAGGCGCCGGCGCCGGCCCAGAAAAGGAAATCGTCGTCCCCGCCGCCGCCGCCAGCCGCCGCCGACGCAAGCGCTGGCCCGAGGAGAGGGGAAGCAGGGGAGGAAAGCGGGAGGGGGGGGGTTCGAACACCCCCCCTCCGTCACGGGAGGGGAGGGGGGGGGGTTCGAACCCCCCCCCACTCCTCCATCCAAGGGGGGGTCCGGTTTCAACCCCCCCCCCCGATCCAAGCGACCACACAATTCGCTCTTTCCGAGGCCCGGTAAGGGTCCCCAGAATCCGAAAATGATTAGAAACCCCCCGTCATGCATTTTCTGTTGTTGCTCGAAGGAGTCTGGGAAATCAACCTGCAGACCTCACCCGGGTCATGTTCCGGCCAGGGCTTCGGGGCGGCTCCTGCCGCCCTGGCGACGAAGGCCCAACGGGAGAGTCCGGCACTGGGGGATGGGTCGGAAGCCAGGCAATGGCTGCTAAATCCGTGGCTGCTAAATTGACCTCCGGGAAGTTGTCTTCGTCCTTCCGGGAAGCAGCCCGTTGACTGTGTCGCGTGCCGCGCTTTCAGGGATGTTGCTGTTTCCTTCCGGGAGAGCCGTTTTAGCAGCCACGGTTTTAGCAGCCCTCGCCCAGCTTCCGGGTGGGGGAGGCGGCCTTCTCAGCAGCCCCGGCGCCGGGCGGGTCGGCGATCCGTCTCGACCGCCACCTCTGCGGACATTTTTGCGATGCGCTGCGGCATGCGCTCCGCCAGCCTGCCTGCACAGGTGACGCGCGGGGCTGCCCTGAAGCCCCACGTCGCATCGCTGTGCTGGCCGAATCATATGTGTGTATATATATATGTGTATATATATATATGTATGTACGCAGATGAACATCTTGTATTATAAATACATATACATGTACATAGACATGAATACATCTATACACATAGATAGATATATTCCATATATATATGTATATGTAGATTCCTTTTGTTCCGTGTATACATATACAGATACTCACATGCACAGGACTCTCCCAGCGACGAATCCGCTTGCAATAGAGATGTGCGTAGCAATACGCTCCTATTCGGATCTGCATCGGGGGCAGCGTTCTCGACGAGGTCGCGCGACAGGGGTCGGAGTTTCGGGCTGGGTCGAGCATCGGGCGTTGGTTCGAAGCACCCATCTGAAGAAAGATCGGGAGGATGCTGCGGGGCAAGGGGCGGGGTAGACTTGTTGCACTCCCCCAGGAGCGTGCAGTATGTCTTGCGACTGGCCCAGGACGGCCCAGCGAGCTCCGAGAGGCTCCGAGATGCCCCCAGGAAGCCCCCAAGAGACGCCCAAAGAGGCCTCTCATCGGATAGCGTATCATCTCATGTCGTCGATATTGCAAAGCATCGCATAGCGGAGTAGACCGAAATGAATCCGCATGAGCACGAAATCAAACTGAACATCATGACCGCGCAAAGCTGGAAACTACTTGGTATAGTGCTAGCCGTAGCATGTGGCATGGCGTACCATCAGCGTGACGGTGCACGCTCAAAACAAGACGTAGCATCGCAGTGGGAGCCAGAGGACCCTGAGAACCCGCGAAGCCTAGACGATAGCCCGATGAGTCGGGGAGCCAAGGAGACACCCAGGGGGAAAACAACCAGGGAATATGGGGGAACTGTGGGGAAACACCCATCCGGGAACCAAGGAACCACCCAGGGAATCTTGGAGCTGGGGGGGAACGCCCAAGAACCCAAGATACATTGCGAGGAACCCGGGCGACCACCCAAAGAGACGCCACGGCCCCCAGGCCCCCGGCTCGAAAGGAGACCCCTCAGACAGAGCCTGGTCGATCAACCACTGCCCTCCTCCTGCCCTCCACCTCCCCTCCTTCCCTCCCCCTCGATCCCTTCCTCCCCTCCCTTCCCTGACTGCTTGCCTCCTTCCCTCGCTCCCTCCATGCATCCTTCCCTCCTCTCCCCTCCCGCAAACGCCGAGCCTGGACTGTTGAGAACGCGGACGGAGGTGGGGCGGAAGCAGGTCGTCCCGCAGGGGAAGTGGGGGGCGGTACAGTTCGTCAGTGCGGCACCGTCCTGCTTCTCGCGGGTCTGTCCTGTCCGCCCGGCGCCTTGCGGCCATCGTGCTACCACAGGCCACGCATCAGAAGGAACGGAGGGGCTTCTCCAGCCACGGCGAACCTCGGCAACGAATGGGCTCCAGGACCTTAGAGAGCCTTTTTTTCTATTCTCGGCGATGACGAGCGTCGTGGGATGGGTGTGAACTGACGCCCCCCCCCGCCGTGGCTCCGGCACCCAACCGCGCCCGCGCGCACGACGACGATGAGCGACGAGCGATGAGCGACGACGAAGACGTGAGCAGCATGTAGGTGGCGATCTGCCCCACAACGCCTGTGTACACCACAGTGCTCGCGTGCACCACAGCGCGCGTGTACACCACAGCGCCTGCGTACACCGCAACAACCGTGTGCACCGCAGCGCACTTGCACAGCACAGTGCCTGCGTGCACCACAGCGCCGGTGTACACCACAGCGAATGTGTACACCGCAGCAACCATGTGCAACACAGCGCCCGTGTAGACCACAGTTCTTGCGTGCACCGCAGCGCCTGTGCACACCACAGCGCATGTCTACACCGCAACATCCCCGTGCAGCGCAGCAGGCACTGTGGTGTACACCGGCGCTGTAGTGCACGCAGGCATTGTGGTGACACTGGTGCTGCGTTGCGCACGGCTGATGTAATGTACGCAGGCGATATGGTGTACACAAGCGCTGTGGTGCCCGCGTGCAGTGTGACACACGCTGGCGCTGCGCTGCACGCGGCTGCTGCGGTGTACATAGACAGTGTGGTGTACACAGGCGCTGTGGTGCACGCAGGAACTGTGTTGTACACAGGCGAGGCGCTGTGGTGCAGATCGCCACCTGCGTGCTGTTGCTACCCGTCCTCGGTCATTCCTGGACATTCCCTGACGCCGCCGGCGCGAAACATGACGTCATCGGCCCCGTCCACCCCCATCCCCCCCAGGAAAAAATTATATATAAATACCTATATATGTAAGGAAACAGAAGAGCAACAAAAAAAGGCTCCAGCCACGTCCTCTCGCTCGACGACGATGAGCGACGAGCGACGAGCGACGAGCGACGACGACAACGACGACGACTGCGGGCTAGACTCCTATGCGGAGTCCCATGCGGACACCTATGCGGATCCCGATGCGCACGGCGGCAGTGCCCGAGGCGCACTGGGGGGGAGGGGAGCGTTACGTCATAGGGGGGTGTGGGGGCCATGACGCCCGCCATGGCCCAAGCAATAAAGAAACACTCCTTAACTCGACGGAACGGCCACAGAACGGGACCCCTCTCCTCGGCAGGACAAACTGGCCATTTGTTCACGGCCCTCTGTACAGTCACCGCGCTGCCATACAGTGGAGGCCAGTCCACATGAAACCTTCCACAAGAAACCCAACCCCAGGACGTCTATTGATTTTGGTGAGGAAGCGTCACGCGTTCCATGGCAAAACCATCGACACCCACGGCACCCTGGAGGCAAGCAGGGTGTTTTGAGCAGGGACCGACCGTCCCGGCATTCCTATAGTCCTACCACGAAATGTTCTTAGAACCCAGCAATGCTCTAAGAACAAAAACAGTGTCCTTAGAACATAAGCCCGATGTGACAAAACAAGACGGGCCCTGCCAGAAGTGTTCTAAGAGCATTTCGTGGAAGCCACAAAAGGTCCTTAGAACATCGTTTGGCAGGGCTATAGGCGAGCCAGGACGCTTCGCCGGCATGGCTGCCACTGCTTGGGTGCTAGGACGCTTCGCCAGGACGCTTGGCTGCCACTGCTTGGCATGGCTGCCACTGCTTGCCCGACACTGCTTGGCATGGCTTCGCCAGGACGCTTCGCCAGGACGCGAGCCAGGACGCTTCGCCACTGCTTGGGTGCCTCTTGGCATGGGCCTCCGCTGCGAGGAACGCCGAAATAAAAGGAACGACGGGGGGCTCTCCTGGCCCCGGCTGAGCCTCGGCCACGAGCAGGTCTCACGGCCCGGCTGCAGGGAGCGGCCTCCTCCTCCTCCTCCTACTCCCCCTGCCTCCTTCTCGTCTTCCTCCTCCTTCTCCTCCTCCTCCTCCTCCTCCTCCTCATCCGCCCTTCTCCTCCTCCTCCTCCTCCTCTTCCTCCTCCTCCTCCTCCTCCTTCTTTCTCCTCTTCCTCCTCCTCCTATTCCACCGCCAGCTCGGGTCGAGCCTCCGCTCATTCTGAGCCCGCGCTGCGGGCGCCCTTCCGCTCCTCCGGTCTTGTTGCGGCCCTTCCGAGCCCAAGGTGGTCATTCTTTCAGCATGTTGACTGCATGGCACATGGGCAGTATCGCTCACGTCGAGACGAAGATCGCCACAGTCATCATCACGGATGGGCTTGACGCCGAGAACTGCAAAACAACCACACTGAGAGGGCGACTGCAGGGCCCTGGCAGGGCACACGCCCTCCTGGCCAAGCCAGGCAAGTCTGTACACCGCCGTGAGGCCCAGGGTGGCCCTGGCCTGGCACGGTGCTGCTGCCTCTTCCTCCTTCTCCTCCTCCTCCTCCTCCTCCTCCTCCTCCTCCTCCTCCTGTACGATTTCGCCGATCCGCGGCCGAGAGAGCTCCTGGCCGCCTCCCCGGATGTGAATTGTTGCGCTCCTGCTCCGCTCTCGACGATATCCCCGGGCCCGAGGGAAGGGGCCCCGAGGGCCGACGTCCAGAGACCAGAAAGAAAGCAAACATAAAAACGCTGGATGGAAGGATCAGGTCGTTGGGGACCTGGCCGTGTTCCTGGCCACCTCCCCCCGCTCCTCCTCTTGCACGGTGGCCGAGAGAAGGGCCCCAGGGGCCGACGTCGAGAGACCATTAAGAAAGCAAACAAAAAAAACGCTGGCTGGAAGGATCAGGTCGTTGGGGATCTGGCTGTGTTCCTGGCCACCTCCCCCCGCTCCTCCTCTTGCACGGTGGCACAGCTCGCTCGAACGGCATCCCCGTCTGGGCACCCCATCGCCAGCGCAAACGCCGCCTGCCTGGCCGCCGGCGCAAGAAGTGCTCCCTGCCGTTCCGAGCCACCGCAGCAGGGCGACTGCTAGCTTGACCGCCCACCAAACCACCCCGACCCAACCCGAAGCCCCCGATCTGCCCTCCACTTCCAGTGGGCGGGGGGGGGGTCCGGGGAACATGGAAAAAACACAGATGACGCCTGTACCTCCTCTCGCCATCGCTCGAACGTCCAGTCCCTGTGCTTTGTTCGGTTTCGTGCGCGGCTTTTTCGCCAAACGATCAAGGATGCTCCTCGAGGGTCCTCGCCGAGATAAAAATGCACACGTCCGAGCGATGCACAGGTCCTCCACCCGAAAATTCGGGTCTTCGGGTTGGGCGGGGGTGGTCTGGCAGGCAGTACCGTCATTGGGCGGGGTGCCTCTGGGCGGGCCGCCCGCTTGGGGACGGAGCTGTGCCGCGGGTGCTGGCGGCGAGGCGGGGGGAGACGACGCCGGGGGCCGGCGCGAGGAGGAGAAAGGGGAGGAGGAGGAGGAGGAGGAGGAGGAGGAGGAGGAGGAGGAGGAGGGGGAGGAGGAGGAGGAGGAGGAGGAGGAGGAGGAGGAGGACGAAGAGGAGGAGGAGGAGGAGGAGGAGGAGAAGCAGGAGGAGGAGGACGAGGACGAGGAGGAGGGGGAGGGGGAGGGGGAAAAGGAGGAGGAGGAGGAGGCGGAGGAATCCACGGACGGATCGCGGCAGTGCTGCCGATCGACGGCGACCAGCTGCAAGGGGTGTCGGCTCCCACCTGGCCTCCTCGCAGGATGGTCCCGCGCGCGTCAACCTCCCGAGGCCATGGACCACGGGATCCCGTCCTGAGTCTTTCGGGAGCCCTGCCTCAGATCCTGGACCTTGGCGAGCAGGCTGAGCATGTCGATGTTGCGAGCTCCTCCCTTCAGGCGCGTGATGCCAGAGATAAATTCCTCCGCGGTGATCTTCGCCTTCCCTTTGCCGACGACGTCGAAGAGGATGCCGATGTCCGTGCACGGAATCTCCATGGCCTCCAAAAAGATGAAAACAACATTGGGCACAACGCCTGAGAGTTTACTCTGCGATGTAGCTACGTTGGCATTGCTCCCGAAATGAACAGCTTTACGGCTGGGACCACCCATTAGCATGGCAACCACACCATTACATCTCTAATAATGCGTATCAGAGATGGGTGCGGTCGATAAACGAGGATTGTGTCCCGCACCCAGCTCATGAACTGCTAAGTGATGCTTCGAAGGTCATGAACGCAATCGTTGTCTTTTGCATTAGCCGCAGGCTGGTCACAATAGCTTGGCCATTTGCATTGGCATGAACTCTGACTGCATCAATGATAACGTTAACTTTGCCAGCCCTTTTGGTGGAGGGAACTCCCCTAAGAAAATAAAAACAGATTTCAGTATCCGTCAGGGACGTGTTTGCCCGCCCCCCCAATAACCGAAGTGTCAGATTACAGAGCCCCACGCGGATGTCCAAATTGCCAACGCACGACCTATTTTCAATGCGGTGCGCTTGATATAACCAGCCTCGAAGTGATCCCTATCCCTAAGATGGGCGAGCAACAAGCGAGGACAACCTCAGGGATAGGCCCTCAGAGACTGAGGGAACCCTTGAGATCGGCATCGAGGCGAGGTGATGCCAAAGGGATAGGGACAGGGATGTGCTTCAAACTGGTAATCTACAGCGGTTTCGCTCCCGCCTGGAGTCCGAGGCCTGGAGGTGGCCCCAACACTGTCAGCGACGGCCCGCAGAGCGGCCGACCCCCCGAAACAAATCTCTGCACGCACGAAATGGGTACTGAAAGAATGGGTACAATGCCCAACAGCGGATCTTGTTCATTTTGAACAGGGCTCGCTGTCCACGCCGCCGCGGCCTGTGTCCATTCGAGACAGGAGGCCGCCTGCCCAACAGCGGCCGCTGTTGGTTTGGGACAACATTTGCTGTTGGGCATTGTACCCATGCCATTCCTTCGGTACCCATTTCGGGCGTCCCAAAAATCCCAGGAGAGCTCTGGGATGTTCCCGGCCCCCAGAAGGGGGAAGGCGCGAATCGACGACTCTTGCCAGCATCGAACGTATCCCTACCCCTAAGATTGACACGCCAAAAGGCGATGACAATCTCAGGGATCCGCCCTCAAAAGGTAAGGGGATGCCGACGATTGGCATCGTGATGAGGCGGTGCCCAGCATAGGGATAGGGATGTGTTCCAGGCTGGTAAGGGATGTTCCCGGCCCCCAGAACGGGGGAAGGCGCGAATCGACGACTCCTGCGTTTCGCTGCGGGCGTCCGGGTTTGCCCCGACAGGGCCGCGAAGGAGAGGGGCCCCAAAGAACGCCGAGGAGGCCCGAGCGACTCCAAAAACAATGGCCCCAAGAGAATCACTGATGGCTCCTCGAGGCACCCAGAGGCCGCCGAGTTGACCACCGGTGGGGCCTGTTCGGGCTGACTGACTCAGGTTTCGCTTTAGCTGATACAACCTCGTTAGTTCATGACTCCAACCCCCCCGTACCCGAGCTTACGAGAACTCGCCCGGGACTTGCTGCTGTGTGCGCGACGCGTCAATGATGTCAGCGTAGTTATGTGTTTGCTCATGCCGGGGTGCGATGCTGCGTTGGACCTGCATTTGGCAACGAGGGCAGAATATGTTCGACATGATCTGGGTCTCCAACCTTCGGTGCTCGCATTCGGCTGTGATGTCACACTCACGTGCGCGTTCGCTACCGACGTCGTCTTACTATTGATGGTACATTCGGCTCAAAACACTGTCCGCCACCGCGCTTGCAGCGGCGGTGTGTTCATTCCATGTCTTTTCGCATGTCGTGTGCTCCATGCGGTGAAACAAATCAAACCCCCGCTGCATCGAGCCCAACATGCTCCCACTAGTTGACCAGATGCATTCGCGCTTGCACTGCAAACAAAATGAGACATCAAGCATTCGGGTGACACGCCCCCCCCCCCTCCCCCCCGTCCCCCCGCACTCCGAAGCCACCCCCCATGGCCCCCCCCCACCAACCCTTCCCACCCCGCCCAAGCGCGGTGGCAGATTCGCGCAGCGGGATACTTTCCGATGTGGCTGTAGACTGTGCGTCGGCTCTCTTCTGCACGTTCGCTGCTGCCTCTGAGGGGTAGATGCACCCGTCGCTCTCGCTGTCGCGTTCATGTCAAAAGTATGGTAGCTTTCACACTAGCAGCGGGAATCTGTAGGTATACCGGTTAGAATGCTTCTACAAGTAGTTAGGCAATCAAATGCAGCTAGCAGCTAGCACATTCACGTACAGTCGTGGCCCTGACTGTAATCTGAACGTGGGTTTGAACATTGCATGTTCGCCGAATGGCTAGCTGTTATTGCCATGGGTCGCGTCTGATTCAGTGTCCGATGCTGCGTTAGCGTTGGATGTTGTCCGAACTTTAGCTTTACAATGCATGTGCACATCGATGCTAAACTTTGGCTTCAACGTTCCCGCTTGCTTCATTTCATACTAGACTTGAGCTGTAGACACGTAAACGGTTGAACCGTATTGAACAATGTAGCTCCGGGTGCAACTTTCATTTGGAATGTCCATTAGCTGTGTCAATTTCCGCGTTCGACTCCGAGATTGCTGGTTCTGCAGAGGTTGCGCTCTTCTTAGCTGCAAAATTTGCTTTTCACAATATTTAAGTCGGCAGTGAGTTTCAAAGTTCACAACTGTGTCATCGTTCGTGACCGTTGTATCTGTCGTGCTCGCGATCAATAGATGTTCCTGGTTGGTGTTCTCATATGCCCGTGACTTGATCACGTACAAGTGCGTTTCTGGTGTCTACTGTTATTGCGGTACCGTGCCAGCTATTTCCATAAGATGTCTAGGGATATGTATGTCCTGGGTCTAAAAAAATACTGACATGTCCGAAGGTTTTCTGTGGGTCCCTAGTGACATCGGGGGATAAGAACAATACGAAGGGCATCTGCTAGCAGGCTGGAGTCGCATTCGATATTCCCAGATGTGATGTGTCACTACAGAAGTGGGAGAGGCATTTGACGCCCACGTCCTCAAGCCACAAGCGAATGGACCGCTTCTGCAACAAGAAGCCAAGCTCGCTCCTCGTCAGAAGGCTGTCATTGTTGATATCAGCCATTTTGAACAAACGGGCGAGGCGATGCTCAAGCTGCTGTACCTCCCTGATCTGCTTTCTCACCATGATCAGCTCGTCGCTCTGTGCAGCGGAGAATGTCTGCTGAATGAACACGCCATTGATAACGCCGATGACGGCGAATCCGATTGATAGCTTGAATATCAGGCAGAAGGCACTGAAACCCTCATGGACCTCCTCAACCAAAAAGCGACAGATCTCTGGCCAATTCGCGAGCGTGAGCTCGAACATTGACAACATGGATCGTGAATAGGTCCCAAAATACGTAAAGAGCTTTACCTTGACGTCCTCTGTCAGGAGTGACTGCCCTTCTAAATACACGATACGGAAGTACTGCGATAAAGTCATGGCGAAAACTGTAAGGACCATTAACAACAACATCGCAGAGAAGCAGAATGCCGACAGGCTTCTGCCGATCGCAGTGACCATCAGGTGGAGAGGGTCAAAACATGAAAAGACTCGGACAGATCGCACTACCCGCGTGATCCTGATGAGACGCAGGATGCGCATGTACTTCGCCATCTTCAGTGGCCCACTCTTGAGGCTGAGCGTGATGATTGAGAACACTAAAACGAAGAGGTCAAGAATATCCCATGGTGATCTCCAGAACGGTTCCCTGAAAAGACACGTCAAGCCTAACGCGGCCCTGCACAAATCGTACGCGTAGACGAGAATAACCCGCCGACCCTGTCACGGGTTCGCCAAGGCTGCGCTCAAATCCATGCTGGCGTGGGTGTGCTTGCGCTGGGCCGCCCCGAACAACAGGCCTGCATTATTTTTCTATGTGTGCCGTTGATGTGGCCACACCAAACCTCGCACAAAGGCCACAAGCCGCCTGATGGGCCGGCGCCTCGCCGGTGGAAAGGGCGGGGCATCCGTACCAATGTGGTGCTGCATGCTCCGCTCGCCTCCATGCTCGAGGAAGGAAGAGGGAGGATGCCAACGTCCTCCTCCTCCTCCCCCTGCTCCTCCTCCTCCTCATCCTCCTCCTCCTCCTCCGCTGCCTCATCCGTGTACCCGCGTTCGCATTACAGGGAGCTTGCTCGTAGCACAGGGCACAGGAAGAAGAGGGACGCCACAAGGCAGCATGGATTTCGATCGAGAACAGGACGACGAAGGCAACGTCCGACCCGAATATAAGCTGCTCGAACGAGGGCCACCACTCGCTCATGTACTCGTCGGTGCCATAACGCTTGTAGAATCCGAGCTGTGCTCCCATCCTCATGCCGAGCTGCTCCTCCTCCGCTATCATGACGACTATGTTGAGGACAACTGCGACGGCCCAGAAAGCCACAAATCGAGGATGACCAACAATGCTCTGCAGCACCTGGAAGGCAGCAGGCGCCTCGTCATGCTTGATCTGGTCCATCTCAAGATCACGCAGATTCCCAATAGTGGCTGCGTTTTGTCTGCGGAGCTGCTTCAGCATGAGCGATTCCTCCCTCTCCGACGATCTCACCAGACCAGGACTGAGTGGATTGCGCTCCTTGCTAGCTGCCCTGAGCGTCTCAAGCTGAAATATTGCCAGGTCGCTGCTGTCCTCCATTGACCTCGAACGGACGGGACACCGAGAGAGAAACTGCGGAGCGGGGGGGGGGACGGTTCTCTGTCGGCTCATTCTCACATGGCCTCCTGGAGGTATTTCTTTAGCCCTGCAAAGCCTCCATAGAAACAGAAACAACTGCATAAGCATAAACATTCGGAGCTTCGCGCGGACTTCTTGGATCGGCGCCGGAAGCGTCACCAGGGGCGTCCAGCGCCGATCCAAGAAATCCGCAAGGAACTCTGTTTGTGCCGGTTTTCCGGTTCTTCGAGAGGGGTAGCCTCCAGCGAAACCATGACCATGGACCCATTGAAGGCCCGAGCGGTGTGCGCGGTCGGATCCGATGTCTCACTTCTTCTTCCTCTTCTGGCTCATGGGGTCCAAGTCCGACCGAAGCACCAGAGTCCACAATTGATAACGAAAGCGCCCCGAAATCGCAGAGCTGTGCATGGGGGCGTGCACCCGTCAAGAAGGCTAAGCTGGATGAACAACAAACTGCATCATAACCATGAGCTTTTGACGGTCCGCTCGGATTTTTCTTGGATCTGCGCCAGATCGGCCTGGTAGCGCCTCCTGCGCCGATCCAACCAATCCGACCGGACCTCCGAACAATTATATGAATACGGTTGTTCTCTTGAGTAGGGCGGGGGGTCAGGTCTGCAGAACATCCCAAGCGGACGTCAAGGGGCGCAACCAACCTGTTCGGTCAAGCTGAAACTGATGCACCACACCCGGCGTCAAGCCAGAACTGTGGACAGAATCAAATGGTTGGATTTTGCATCGGCGAAGCGGTTGAACACCTTGAAGTCCCTTTGCTGGTGGTCCTGGACATGAAGACGTTCTCTGACCCTCGCTCCCACTCGACTGTTCTCCCTCGACCAGCCTACGAAACTGACAAACCGACCCCGTGGATAATAGAGGCATCCTTACTGTGGTCCGAGTAGATGAGGTAGGAGAATCGCGCCGCATCGGCGCTACATCGGCGCTACATCGGCGATGCATCGGAGATGCATCGGCAATGCACCGGCCATGCATCGTCGACGTGGGCGACGCATCGGCGGCGTCGACGTGAAGGAAATCGGGCTCCACATCGAGCCGCATCGGCGATGCATCAGCGATGCGGCGCGATCCTCCGACCCCATCTACTCCGATCCCATCTAGGAGGCCTAGAGATAAAGAACTGGGGGTCTCGTAGCGGACCGACGGCCTTTTTCGTGGGGCGTGCGGCGCGGTGCGCGCGCCTTGTCTCGACCGAAGGAGATGGAGCGCGCCTCTCGGCGGCCCTTCATGGGAGCCTCCCATGCCATCTTGTCGGCTCTTGCGAATCGACGCTAATAGACGCCGGTCGGCGCTAATCGACCCTAAATCGACGCGAGTCGACGCTAAACAGGAGCTATATCATCGACTCCTAGATATGCTGACCAACGCGGGCCGATTAGCAAAATATTGTTTTTGCAGGGGTATACCAGACTCCCATGACTTGCTGCCGACCTTGGTCAAGCCGTCAAGACGCACACGCGGCGCAAGTCAGCGGTGCCAGCTCTGCTCTCTCGCTCTCTTTCTCTTTCTCTCTCTCTCTCTATTTCTCTCTCTGGGGAGGCTAGGGCCACGCCGTCGACGCCGCGGGGCAGGAGCGGAATCGGCCTTCGGCCCGCTGCGGCGCCGCCCGTCCACCGCCCCCTCCTCCAGACTACCTACAAGACCACCCCACCCCAACCCAAAGATCCAGATCTCGGGTTGGGAGGGGTACAAGTTCCGCATGAGTTGTTTCAATGTTCCCCGACGCCCGCCCCCCCCCCACTGGAAATGGAGAGCAAAATCGGGACCGTCGGGTTGGGCTGGGGTGGTTTGGTGCACGGTGACCTCCTGCGTCCTCTCTCCTCCTCTCTCCTCCTCTCCTCCTCTCTCCTCCTCCTCCTCCTCCTCCTCCTCCTCCTCCTCCTCCTCCTCCTCCTCCTCCTCCTCCTCCTCCTCCTCCTATCCTCCTCCTCCTCCCTCTCCTCCTCCGCCTCCTCCTCCTCCTCCTCCTTCTCATTCTCCTCCTCGTCCTCCTCCTCCTCGTCCTCCTCCGCCCTCCCCCTCCTCCTTCTCCTCCTCCTTCTCCTCCTCCTCCTCCTCTCCTCCTCCTCCTCCTCCTCCTCCTCCTCCTCCTCCTCCTCCTTCCTTCCTCCCCCTACCCCCCCCCGTCCTCCTCCTCCTCCTCATCCTCGACATTCCTCTCCCGCCTCCCCCTCCTCCCCCTCCCTCCCCCTCCTCCTCCTCCTCCTCCTCCTCCTCCTCCTCCTCCTCCTCCTCCTCCTCCTCCTCCTCATCCCCTCCCCCTCCCCCTCCTCCTCCTCCGCCTCCTCCTCCTCCTCTTCCTCCTCCTCTCCCTCCTCCTCCTCCTCCTTCCTCCTCCTCCTCTCCCCCCTCACTCCTCCTCCTCCCTCCTCCTCCTCCTCCTCCTCCTCCTCCTCCTGCTCCTCCTCTTCCTCCTCCGCCTTCCTGCGCGTGCGACGCGGACGTGGACTGGCTTCCGACACCGCACCGCGCAGATCGCCCGGTCCCGAGCGGACTCTGCTCCCCGACCGCGGAGGCCGCGCGAGCATTGCAGGCACCGTCTGGCCATGGCCCCGGAGAGCGCGCCTGCGCCGGCGTCGCCGCCGCGGCCAGCGCGGCGCGAGCCTGCGGTGAGCTTCCTCCTGCCGTTGGGGCCATGCAGTGAGCAGCTTGGCTGCTGCGTTCTCCCAGTGCAGCGAGGCATCGAGTGAAAGAGGTCAGCACGGACTTAGGCAAGTGGTAACAAATGAGGAGGAGGAGGAGGAGGAGGAGGAGGAGGAGGAGGTGGAGGCGGAGGCGGAGGCGGAGGAGGAGGAGGAGGAGAAGAAGGAAGGAAGAGGAGGAGGAGGAGGAGGAGGAGGTGCTGCCAGTGCGAATGCAAGAGACAGTGAGCCTCCTCCCCAGCCTCCCCCTTCGCGGAGGACGCGCAGGGGGGTCCCTGGTCCCATTGGCGGCACGCGCGCGGCTGCCACGTCGCCACCCTCGGGCAGCCATGGGCATCGTGCCCGCATGCCTGCGCTAGGAGCCCTGTGCGCCTTCTCGTTGTCTGGCCCTCGGGCGATACACATCCCCTGCTTTTATTTTCACGATCTGGGAAGGTGGGGAATCCCCCCCACCCCGGAAAACGTAAACCCCCGGCTCCCTGGCCCCCCTGCTGAAGGTCCCCCGGCCTTTCCGGAGCTCCTGAAATACCCTGCTGGGCCTAGGCAACGGGCTCAAGTCTGGCAGGATGGCGGCCGAACGCCCCCGCGAGAGCCCCATGAGGCCCAAGACACCCTCTGGACGCCAGAAGACGACCCAAAGAAGACCTCAAGAGACCTCCGAACCGCAAAAACAAAATCCAATTGTTTTTGCATGATCGTGGAGATGCTCTGCTCTTCGGTCTTCCGGGCGTCTGAGACCGCCCAGGAGGCCCGAACATCTGCCGAAAAGTACCCGAGAGGGCTTCCAAGTAGCCCAAGAGGGCCCCCAAACGGCCAAAACAGGGCCCCGAGACGGCCCGAAGAGAGCCCTGTGACCGCCCCAAATGGCCGCCGAACGCCCTCCGAGGCATTCCACATCGTGAACCGCTCGTCGAGGGAAGCCGTGCTTGGAAGCAGGGTGGCCCGAGGACGCCCCCGGAGTCTCCCAGGTGGAGCCCAGGAGGCCTCCAGAAGGCTTTCGTGAGGCCCCCAAAAGAGGCTCTCCAAGTTCCACAGAGCCGAGGGGGCGAATTCACAGGGTACGGCGAGAATGAGGATGAGGATGAGGAGACACGAGGGCAAGATAAGGAGTCCCAATATTATAACGACAGTGTCGGGGAAGACTCATGATCGTTACATGTTCCGTTTTACCCTCCTTCCCTCCCGCCTGCATACCAGAAGCATCGGACCAAGGTGCATGGCGCGAAGCGCCTGTGCAGCCTTGTACGCATACCTGATATATGTATATATATATATATATGTGTATATATATATATACATGCATCGCATATGTTTGCATGTTGTTACACTAAAGACAGCCTTGCTCGCATATGAATGTGTATATATATACATATATGCACTAGAGCAACCTTTGCGCTTCGCGCGTGCGTCGGTTCTAGAAAGCTCTAGTTGCAGTCAAATGTGTTCGGCATCGGATGACATTAAGTGTCACACGGATCGTGCCCCTCAGGGAGCTCCACTGGCGGCCCCAGAGACAAGCTTGACTTAGCGTCCCCCCGCCCATGTCGGCTCACCCCTCACAAGGATCGCGCCCAACAGGGAGCTCCACCTACGTCCCCGGAGACAAGGTTCGCATAGCGGCACGCCCCTCACGCGGATCGTGCCTCGCAAGTGCCTGACTTGCGGCACCAGAACGAAGCTTCATGGCGTCGCCCCGCTCACTTCGGCACACCTCTCACCAGATCGTGGCCCACAAGGAGTTCCACGGACGGCCCCAGAGACGAGGCTCGCATCCCGCCATCCCGCCTACTTCTGCATACCTCCGCGGATCGTGGCCCCCAGGGGTCTCCACCTGCAGCCCCGAAGACAACGTTCGCACTGCGCTCCCCCCCCCCCTCGGCCATTGCGGCACACTCCATCACGCGGATCGTGCCCACGAGGGACACCACCTCAAGGCCCAGAGATAAAAGCTTGTACACCGCCCCCCCGCCCATGTCGGCACACCTGTCAGGCGAATCATGCCCCAGAGAAGGAGCTCCACCTATGGCACCCATGGGCAACTTCGCATGGCGTCCCCCAAGGAATTCCGGAACATGCCTCGCACGGGTCGTGCCCAGAGGAGGTCCACCTGCGACCTCAGTGGGCGTGTTTACGCGGCCCTTCCCGCGGATCGTGCCACACAAGGAGATCAGCGCACCCGTTCACGCGTGCTCTGCAGTGGCCATCTGGGCGAATTGCCCCGCGGCTCGCAGTGTTGAGAGAGAGAACGGATGGGTCCGACGCCAAGCCAACTTTGGCCCAGAGCGCTACAAATACTGTACCTGAGTTTTGGGCCAGAGGATTCTCATACACATATAAATATATTCACATATGTGCAAATAAGTAGATGTATAGATGCAGATACGCATATCGATATATATATATAGGTATATATATATATATACTTGGTGGCCTCTTGGGTCGATGCTGCGGCCCGCCTGACACAAACAGCCTCCTCAGGGTCACTTGCCATAGTTTTTGAGGCTATCCACCATGCAGAAATCGTACTGCCCCCCCCCCCTCTCACCACGCCTGGCACCACGCCTGACATCGCCAGCCTCCTCAGGGACTCTGGCCATGGGTTTCCAGGGCCATTCACCATGCAAAACGTCCCGAGACCCCCCACCACGCCTGGTACCACGCCTGACACCACGCCTGGCACCGCCAGTCTCCTAAGGGTCTCTGGCCAGGGGTCCTGGGGCCGCCCACCATGCAGAAACCGTCCTGCCCCCCCCCCCACCACCACGCCTGGCACCACGCCTGACACCACGCCTGACATCGCCAGCCTCCTCAAGGTCTCTGGCCATGGCGCACCGCCTATGCTCATTCCGGTCTGCGCACACGATCCCGCCAATATCCACAACGCCCACCAACGTGGAAACGCGAGAAAAGCCGGCGACGACGCAAGCACCGCGAAACCGCGATCGCCCGCGCCAAACCGACGCGATGGCGGGCGCGCTGCGAACGATGGACCAGCCAGACACAGCAAACAAACCTACAATGCCTTTCCTGGGCTCGGCGGCAGAGGCAGTAGCCTTTAACATATACATATATATATATATATATATATATACATACATACATATATATATATACATATATATACATACATGTATACAAATAAATAGATATACATATATTATACAAATATACGTACACAAAGACCACGAGCGTGCGCTTCGCGGTCACTCAGGTTCTAGCGCAAGTCCAGGCGATGCCACGAGGAATGAGATGAAGACCGCGATGTGTCTTGAGGTTGGCGCCCGCTTGCGCTGGCATCGTCGCTGTTTCGGGTCGTCCCGCCTTTCCACACCATCCTGCATTTCCATTCCCCGCCCATCTCCCACTTTCTCACATCTCTGTCGTCTGGCCTTCGCTTCTTGTTGGATCAACCTCTCACTTGCTTTCTCCTGCTACGAGGCAAACTCCTGCTGCCACAAACGCAGGCTTACTCGCAGTCTGATCTCTTGCACACGATTTTAATAGCTGCGTCTGCGACCTTTCTCTCTCTCGCTCTCTCTTGATCTACGCCGTTGCGAGCACCATGACAAGAAGAAGGAACCACACTCTGGGAATTTACATAATGGACCGTGGCATTGTTCCATTCAAGGTTCCAAGGGAAGATTGAAGAAAGGCCCAATAATGTTCACAAGATGGCAGCGGCAATGAAAATAGCTGTCCAAATCTCTTCCTTGCTCGGCCTCTCCCGCTTCCAACCATCTCCTCCTGTGTCCTCCCATGTCCGGCTTTCCCATCTTCGGCCACTCTTGGGGGCTCATTGGGAGCATCTTGGGCTGGCATCGGGGCCTCTTGGGCCGCATTGGGGCACTCTCCGCCGGCCTTGGGGCCCTTTTGGGAACGTCCGTGGAGCCTTCTTGCGGTGTCGTGCGGCCGCAAAGGCGAGATCGCGAAAATGTGTATCCTCGTCCTCGTCCTCCTCCAAGCAGCAGCACAAGATTATCCAGCCAGTGACCCCGTCTCGGCCCAAGACTGCTCACAGCTGCCAGTGTGCTCGGAGGCGGGGCTCGGGACGGCATCGTTGCTGAAGGTCACCTCGGAAGGAAAACGTCGATCCCCCGCCTCCGCCTCCGCCTCCGACTCCGCCTCCGCCTCCGCCTCCTCATCCACCTCTCGCCTCCGCCTCCCCCTCCTCCGTCGCCTCATCATCATATGTTTATGTATTTCCAATGTCTTGGCATTGTCCTCGTATGGAAAACCAATCTTCTTGATAGTATGTACTACTACCACTACTAGTACTAATACTACGACTGCTACTACTACTACTTCTACTACTACTACTGCTGCTACTACTACTACTACTACTACTACCACTACTTCTACTACTGCTACTACTACTACATATACTGCTGCATCTACTACTACTACTACTACTACTACTACTGCTGCTACTACTACTACTACTTCTACTACTACTACTCTACTACTACTACTACTACTACTACTACTACTACTACTACTACTAGTACTACTACTACTACTACTACTACTACTACTACGACTACTACTATGACGACGACTACTACTACTAATACGATCACTACTACTATACTGCTACTACTACTACTACTACTACTACTGTTACTACTACTACTACTACTACTACTACTCTACTACTACTACACTACTACGACTACTACACTACTTACTACTACAACACTACTACTACTACTAACTACGACGACGACGACTACTCTACTACTACCACTACTACTACTATTACTACTACTACTACGACTACTACGACTACTACGACTACTACGACTACTACTACTACTACTGTTACTACTACTACTACTACTACTACTAACTACTACTTAGTACTACTACTACTACTACTACTACTACAACTACGACGACGGCGACGACTACTACTACTACTACTAAAGACCTACCCCTACTACTACTACGATTACTACTACTACGCCGGCTACGACTACTACTACTACAGCTACTACTACGACTACTACTACTACTGCTGCTGCTGCTGCTGCTACGACTACTATCACCATAATTACTACTACTACTACTACTACTACTATTACTACTACTACTGTTACTACTACTACTACTACTACTACTACGCCAACTACTACCACGACTACAACTACTACGACTACTACTACTACTCCTACTACTACTACTACTACTACTACTACTACTACTACTACTGCGCCTCCTACTACTACTACTACTACTACTACTACTAATACAACGACGACTACTACTACTACTACTACTACTACTACCACTACTACTACTTCTATATTTACTACTACTACAACAACAACTACTACTACTACGACAGAGACTACTGCTACGACGTCTAGATTTACAATTCATACTACTCCTACTACTCCTACTAAGACTACTACTACTACTACTACTACTACTACTACTACTACTACTACTACTACTATTACTACTACGACTAATCATACTACGACTACTACTACTACTACTACTACTACTACTACTACTACTACGGGTACGACTGCTACTGAGACTGCTACGATTACTTCTACTACTGCTACTTCTATTCGCTCTACTTCTACTACTGCTCTTACTATCATTAGAAGCATTAGTATCATTCGCGGGAATAATAATAGTAGTCGTAGTAGTACACATACTCGTAGTAACAGTAAGAATAGTAGTAGTAGTAGTCGTAGTAGTAGTGGTAGTAGTAGTCGTAGTAGTAGTAGAGTAATAGTAGTAGTAGTAGTACTAGTAGTGGTAGTAGTTGTAGTAGTAGTAGTAGTAATAGACTTAGTTGTAGTAGCAATGGAACTAGTACAGTCGTATCTGTAGTAGCAATAGTAGTGTTAAGCGTAGTTGCAAAAGAGGTGGCAATATTTAGTTGTAGTAGTAGTAGGAGAAGTCGTGAAAATAGTATTAGTCGTTCTCGTAGTAGTAGTAGTAGTAGTAGTAGTAGTTGCATTAGTATTACCAACAGTAGTCGTACTAATACTAGTCGTACTAATAGTACACATAAAAATAGTAGTCGTAGCAGTAGTAGTAGTAGTAGTAGTAGTAGTAATAGTAGTAGCAGTGTTGAAATACTCGTAGTAGTAGTAGTAGTAGTTGTTGTTGTTGTTGTTGAGTAGTAGTAATAGAAAAAGTAAAATGAAAGTAGTAGTGGTGGCAATAATGATAAATTATTTTCCCTTCTCCTCCTCTTCCTCCTCCTATTCCGATTAATCCGGCTAATGCTGCGTTAGCGGTTGCATTGTTCGCATTTCTGCTAGTACGCCCTCCTCCTCCTCCACCTCCTCCTCCTCACCCTCCTCGTCTTAATTCTATTTGTCGAATTACCGATGCTGTTCGCATTCACCTCCCCATGTGTATTAACATTAATATGACCCTCCTGTATTTTTATATGTCTACGGTTCCAAATGATTGTTAATTTGAAGGGGTTGCGTTGAGAAGTCACGCCATCCTGACTCATGGCGCGCGAAAGAATGGTCCCGCCTACCGCACCCATTATTTCGTTTCTGGCAAGTCCAGGAGATCCACGAAATCCAGCGGCGATTGCGAGCCGGAGACCTCGCGCGGGACATCCTGAGAAAACCGGCTCACTGACCCGCATGTTCTCAGGATGCCCGGGGAATCCGGGAAATCGGGCGACCAATTCCAAGCCAGTGCGCTCGCGTGGGACATTCTCGGAGAATCGGGGATGGACAGCCCACCCTTTAGTAAAACGTGGTTTAGTGAAAACGACCTGAGGCCCAAACCTGGCGGGCGCAAGCCTGGAAAATAACGGCCACGGCTCCCTCTCGAGAACCGAAAACGGACAATTCACTAATCGACGTGTCACTGTTGGGGTCTCTGTCCACCCCCGAGAGAACCGAGCCCCCGAACCCCCTGCAAGGGCCCATGGGCTCCGTGTCCGGACCATCCCGAAACCAAAAAGGACATCCGGCGACGAATGCCAAACAGGCGGCCCCCCGAGCCTCCCCAGCCTCCCCAGCCTCCCCAAACAGGCGGCTTCCCCGTGGCCGGACTCTCCGGAAACCCGAGGACATCCGGCCACGACTGCCAAGCAGGCGGCCTCGCGTGGGGCATCCTCGGGAGACCGGCCCCCCGAGCCTCCCCAACCGAGGCCCTCGGACGCGCGCCGGGGCGCACGCACCATTAATGCGGGTTGACGATTAATTTAAAAATAGTGGAAACCGATTGAAACATAGTTTTTAGCTATTTCTGCATAAGGTTATGACTGGAGGATAACGATAAAAAAATAGTTTTCCAACCCGCGGCCGGTTTTTTCAAATCGTCATCCTGGGCGCCGCCGCGTGAACACGACCCCCGGTCATTTATTCATCGTCATCCTCCATTAGAGGAAAGACAACTATGCACATACACCGATTCTGGCCAGGCCCCTCCTGGGCCCAGGAGCGGTGCACACGCCCTCCTGCCTTGGCGAGGAAGGTGTATGCACCGATCCTGGGTCAAGGATGGGCCTTGCCAGGATCGGCGCATGTGCATAGTTCCCTTCGCCCGAACCATGCCGCGCCCCACCCCCCCACACAAGCAACCCCCGGCGCGCCAGGGACCTGGAACCCACGACCCGCAACGCCGCCCGCAGGGATCACTGTGCCGGGGACCATTGCCGGCGCACGCCGCGGCGGGCCGGGGCGAACGGGCCGCGGCCCCAGTCCGGGGCCGTCGCGGCATCCCCCCAGGAGTCGACCCGGGGCGCGCAAGAGAAGTCGCGCCCCGCCGCGCCCCCCAATGTCTGGGGGATCTGCAGGGGACCGCCAGGACGCGGCGGGCGCGTCCCAGTCGGGGGCCTTCGCCCGAGACATCCTCGCAAAAGCCGACCCGTGCGTGCCCCCATTTCGGGCCCCCGATTGAGGGCGCCCTCGCACAGTCGACGAGGCCCCCGCCGAGGGAGCCCCCGAGGACGATGAAGAGGATGGGTTACTCCCTCTCCTGCTCCACGCCCGCCCTATCCTCACCTTCCTGATGTTCATTCTCGCCTCCCTCGCTCGCTCTTCTGACCCTCGTTCTTCACGTCCGCACCCTCCTGCTCCACGCTCGCATGATCCTCGCATGATCCTCGCTCGCGCCTTCGGGGAGGATATGCTTACCCACTGACAACAACTGCGATGACTGTGATGGCGATGAGGCGGCGACATTGCTCGATTACGCTGTTTGTGAAAATGAAAGATAGTGATTGTGACGAAGGCGACTCAGCCGCGATGGAGTTCACACCAAAAAGTGCGACCTCGCATTCGACTGAAACGGAGTCATCTCACGACCGGCTTCACTACCGATATAACTTTCGACCGCAGTGCCGATCACGCGCTCGATCGGGTTATTGATCTCAATACGAAACGCACTTGCGATCTCATCATCGACCGCTCAACAGATCTCACGAAGGATCTCGCATCGAGTGGCGCTGAGTACGAGCGGGGCACTAGCGGGGCAGAAGAGGGACACCGTCGGAACGCCAGCGGGCCCAATTAATGCCACCAAAATGGATATTATGGGCACGAGTTTCGCTGACCATTACGAAAGGCAAATGATAATGGCGAGACCGGTAGTAGCAGCGATGGCTCGCGATCTTTCCTAGTTCCTCTCCCTGCACATCTCGCGGCCCTCATGCGCGCTGGACGTCGCTGCGCCCGAAATGGGGACATATCCCCATCGCAGCCCGATGCTGACCAGGCACGCGGCCGGGCTGGGGCGCGCGCATCTGACCCTGCCGCGCCGGCAGCAGCGCCGCCGCGCCGCACGCGCGCCCTGCGAACGCACTCCGGCTGCGTTCCCGACGTTCGCCAGGCAGAGCCGCGGCTGGGCCGCCAGCGGGCCACAGGAGCCCAAGTTTGCGAAACTGCCTGACATTTTGCGCACAGGCAGCGCGCGCGCGCCGTCGCCGCAAACCTCGGGCCCCTCGAAAAGCGCGCGCGCCGCGCGGCCCCCTGCAACGAAAAGACCTGGCGTTCGACGGCGCGCGCTTGGATCTGGTCGGCGGCGAACGCGCGCGTCCACGGGCGGCCGCCGGCGAGACGCCCCACTCCGAACAGCGCTGTCCG